CGTACCGCAACATCTCCCTGGGGATAACCGACATGCATTCTAGGGCATGGTCATTCTTGGTAAACCCCTGATGGGTGTCAAATGTTGGAACCTTGTGGCATTTTCCGAGCGAGAGGAGCCGGAAATCCCCTGACGTTGCTGCTGGGAGACATTTCCAACGGTTGTCCAAATTTGGGAGTCAAGCGACAGCCCTGAGCCTTCCAAACCCACCATCATGACAGACAGGGGGATGGGAAGAGGGCGAAAGCGGGAATGCGTTGGCCACTTCGCCTCGGGTCCAAAATTGTCTGGAAGTCTGCCAGGGTCCACGCCAGCAACAGCGAAGCACCTCTTCCGTGCGCAACTCACAACAGCTCAACACTGCATTTTCCTACCCGTCCCTGACAGCTGCAGCCTAACCAAACACCGCAGCGAACGCCAGGCGAGTCCCTACACGATCAAGACGGGGCTGATTGGTCGATCTTCGATCCCGGTCTGGGCCGCCCGGACACCTACTTGATGGGCCAGCACCTTCAGCTTAGCCACATCATCTTCCAAAGGATCATCCATGGGTTGAACCATTTCTACGGCCTTCTTTCAACGCCGTATGGGTGTGCATGGTAAGAAAGATATTGTGAGGATCGAGGGGTTGTTATGAGCAAGAACAGCAGCGAAGAAGGAAAAAGAGACCACGCTGGAACCTGGGCGATCGACCCCTGCGCTTTTCCATTGGGCGTTGCAACGGGAGGGTGTGTTTCGCGGGGAGCGGCCCGCAAGTGCCCCCCAGGTGAGCACATTTTCCTCCGTACGTACTAGCTGCAGTCCTACGCATCTGATTGGTTGCATGATCGTGAGAAATGGCACGCAGCCAATGGAACTTCGGCTTGCCCTTTTTTCTTTCGCATTGTAAGCTTCATGGGAACCAGGGTCCTGTATGTTCCAAAGGCAATTTTCTCCTCCCCGTGCGGGGTTGATGCTGCAGCGTTTCGATGGACTAAAAACTCAGATGATCACGAGGGGGGTGACTGGCTGACTGACCGACCGACCGACCGACTGACTGCAAGCATTTCCTTCCATTCCCAGGATTATCAGTTTCTGTGTCGAGGGACCAGAGATGCGGAGACGTTGAACAGTACCGAGGCAGCTCGGAAGGAGAAATTGGGAGTTTCTATTGGGCATGGTGAATTCCATGTAGGTAGATGGGACAGCAAAAACGAGCGTTCATCCTTGATCTTGATCGTGAAGCTGATGCTGATTTCGCCAGATAGCTTCCAAAGAACCACAAAGCCCAGAAAAACGACGGCCGAGGGACCTGCATATGGGAGGGTAGGAGAGGGACCGTTCCCCTTCCGGGGGTCTTGGACCCTGAGACCCTGCGAATCCCCCAACTTGGCACGGAGGGTGGTACCAACAACGGCAGTAACACAACACAACCTTCTTGCCGACCACCTACTGCGGCACGGGCTGTCAGGTCGGAGTAGGTTGTGCACCTCTTGGGTGGATTTCCACCCAGAAAACTGCACAACTCCGACCTTACAACCCGTGCGCGCGGAAAGTACTAGATACATGGTCGATCCCGTCCCTACTCCCTATGAAGTAGGAATCACCGTCTTCCGGGCTCCGGCTTCTCACCCTCCTCGTCGTTGCTTGGGCGCTCTGGTCCCCGAGCCGCAATCAGAAGTCATCAGCAAGGCTTGATTCGCTCGATACGATAGCGGTCTGGAAGCTCAGACATCGGTCAAACTACTGCACTCTTCCGCCGTGCGAAGGAAAGCCGTGGTCGAGATCTTGATTGCCAACTATCCATCAAACACTATCACTATCTTTCAGCTGGAGGGGTCAAGTCTCTGGGGCGTCGCATACGCTGAAAGGATGGAGGTCGTGGGACATCGAGATTCGTGAAAAGAGCTGGCTCCATCCTGACAACCATGGAAACGACGTGGATCGTTGTCTACTACCGAGACCCGTCCAGCTCCTTGTCGCACATTCCCTACCCATTGTCCACCATCTCGGAAACAAGCCAAAAGAAAGCCACACTTGGGAATCAACAGCCACGTACTCCACCAGTTCGTTTTCATCTACTTCGCACTCTCCTCCGTGGGCTCTTTCTCGTTCCGACCGAAGCGGAAGAAACGTTCCATCAAGACCTCCATGGGTCGCGGAATGTACCCTCGAAGAGGGCCAGTCGTCGGCGGAGGAGGCGGGATTGACATGCTCGATGTGTGTGTCTTTGGGGCGGGGAGAGGTCGGAAGCCACTGGCAGACGAGCCGCCAGGTTTTCGTGTCGGCCGGGCGTCGTTGCCACGTAACTGTCCAGAGTCTCTGCCCGACTGTTTGTTGTTGTTTCTGTTGTTGCTGTTGTTGTTGCTGTTGTTGTTGCTGCTGTTGTTGTTGTTGTTAGGGGCAGTCATCTCCCCGTTCTGGAGCGCCTTCTGTGCCTCCTCCAGGGCCTTTCGAGCCTCTTCTTCTCTTTTCTTCCTGAACTCCTCCATCATCTGGGCTTCCTCGGCTTCCCTCTCGGCCTTTGCCTTGTCCTGACACTCGTTACATTTGCGTAACTGATCCTTGATATTAGTCTCAGAGCTCGTGATCCGCAGCAGTGATGGGGGAAGGAAAGAGTGTCCTTGCCACTTCTCTGTAAGAAACAATACGCTTCTCGCATTTCAGGTCTCCCCCGTATCGTATGTACTTGTGTTGCTTACAGTACGGGAAGCCGACAACATAACTATGGCCGCAGATGAAATCCACCTGCTCCCAAGGAGGACGACCTATCAGTAAAATGAACAACAACGTAGAAACAAACCCCCGCTGAGAATCATGTGCCACTGGCAGCGTAAGAGAGACAATCGTCGAACCGACTTGGCCTGGGCCGCTAGCTAACCCGAGAAAAGGGACAAGAGGAAGGGTACATAAAACACAGGGTAAAGAGGGAATTCACTTGCCTGTTGGTGAAGACACATCTTGGGGAGCCACAAGGGGGAATGCTGACTGCAGGATTTGTTGGTCGGTGGATGAATGGAACGTTGGTGGTGTCTTGGAAAACTAACTCGCCATAACGAGCAGGTATGTGATGATGGTGACTGGAAATTCAAGCTAGTTAGTTGCTGGCTGAGAAAAGAAAAGAACGAGGGCAATTTTCTGAATTCTCGCTGGGGAGGCCGTTCTACTTTATCTTTCAACAAAGTAAGCGGAGGAGGAAGCATACATCGTTCTCACGTCCTCTTCCTAGGGTCTCCGACATGCAGACGAGGAGACAATGCATTTTGAACCACTTCCAAAAGTGATCAGTCGTTCTTACTTTTCGTGCTGCAGTGATCGCGCGCGCAGATCTCCCGTCTCTTCGCTCGTCATCCCTTACAGAACATATCAGCACAGCGGGTCAACAAAAGAAACAAGCATCGAAGAACACCAATGATGGTACTCGGTTGGACCATCGTCCGGATTTCGACAGCTCACATGTATGCAAGCATCCTTTCAGTCTTGTATCGCCGACCAATCCTGTCCTTTCCAGAAGCGAAAGTTGGTAATGTTTGTCTCACTTGCCCTCAGCCCTCTCTGTAGGAGAAAACAAGTCCAATTCTGTCCGCAACGTACTTCACCGCTCAAGCTGCACCACCCCGGCGACCACTCACAAAGCATTCGGCGGTAGCACTGTCCGAGCACCCAGACAGCTCGATTCCTGATCATCGAGGCGGGGCTGGAGCCATCGTGATCAGTTCGTGGTCACTGCATCTTGATTGGTATCATGTCATGTTATATGACAGGTCATGTCTCAACTTCCCTTGATAGACACACAGCAGCGGTGGTGGGGGCGCCCTGGGTAGTCGACTTGTGAAAGGGTCTGGAAACCGACGCCAGAGAAGCCTGTCATCCGGTCTGCGTTGCAGCTCGTGGGATGGCAACCATCGTTCCACCACAGGCGCCGACGGAAGAACCATCCGGTGGAAGTTATGCCGCAGCCCAGGTAACTTAGTCCGTGGACGAGTGACAACATCGTCCGACGCTGCTTACCGCCTTGTTGCTGTTGGATGAACTGGGGATGCGGTAGAATGAGTGATCTCTGTACTGGATCTTTGCGTGTTGGGCCATATCGTCCATTCGATTGGAGGGTATGGGAGAAGGGTTCACACGCGATGTGGTACCACTTCTGCCAGGTGGAATGGTGAATGGCCTCTCGCATGTCACCATTCTTCGTATTTCATATTCTGGCATGCCCCTCGCCGAAGCCCTTCAAACCGACCATCTCTTCACATGATTGATCTCTGCCTGCGATGCATCGGCTCACTGCATCCTTCATGTACACAACAGGCTGCAACTCAGCACAAATACTACTCTTGCATCCTCATCTTCTTCGTGTTTCTTCTGGCCCTGGGTTCTGTTTTGATCAATGCATTGTGTCTCCTCGTCCATTGGTTTCCTCCAAAGAATCGCCGTCACTTGTGTTGTGCCACACCTACCAGTCTGTCGGCCTTTTCAGCGGGGCAAACACTGTTACCTGGTGTGTTGCTCAGGCCATGTTGGAGGGGAGGATGCCAGGTAAGGTACGCGGTACGCTAGGTGACCGAGACAGCATGATATCGAAGCCATTCTGTCACCCACGTGTTTCCCCGTCTCGGGTACACTGACAAGATGTTCGGGCACTCAGAGTATGAGTTTGGCGGAAAACTGGGGAAGCAACGGATGTACAGACTTATTACTTTCCTCCGTGCGACCGTCGCAGCGCTGTCATTGCCGCACCGAGATACCGTGCCAATCCCCGCGGGAAACTCTCCCAATCGTATGGTCTGTGTAGCATCGTTCAGGACCCAATATGGGAAGCTGCATCATCACGCGTAATCGATGGGAAGTACGAAGTATTTTCGAGCCGTTCGGGCTTCCCAAAGCATGCGGAGATGTCCACTCCACAAACCCAAGCCCAAATCCGCTGCTCCATCCACCTGCGTGCTTCCACCCTTTATCACCACGACTCATGAGCTCCCCACCTCAACAATTCCTTCGGAAAAATTCAGAAAAAGAAGCGAGGGAGCTTGGCTCAGTTGGAAGAGCGCAGGTCTCATATGTTCACATATGATCTGGTTGATCACAAACATCAGAGTCATCCTGAGGTCGTGAGTTCGAGCCTCACAGTTCCCATCGAGAGCGTCTTTTTGCCGTCCGGTGGCGGACCTGCCACTGCCGAGAGAGTAGGTAACTCTCTCGACTCGAATTTTATTTTATTTTATTTTATTTCATTTTGTTTTTTTTGTTTTCCCCCTACGAATGATGCCGATTCCTCCCCAGGCATCTGAAAAAGTTGGCATATTGCTGGGAAGGACCACGTTCTCAACCTGAAAACCAGGCAGCCATATCAACGATAGAGGATCACTTGCACAATACGGCCGTGTGGTGCATGGGTGCCACCAGCTCTCACGTCGCTCGCAGGGACGATACCGAACAAACAGTGACAAGTGTCTGTGTAGGTTCCACAGCATACATGCCTTATCTGGTAGTAAAAAATGGGTCCCCTCCGATTCTCAAGAGTTACTCTCCATGGGTACCGACGTTCGGCAGGCAAGCCAATGACACTACGAGTATCGCGGCCAAACTGCCAATCTTTCTCGATGGATGAGACTCCCCAAGAAGAAGCAAGTTGGATTGACAGTCCTGAATTCGGCGACAAGAGTCGTCCTGATAGGCCCATTCTTCCCCGGCGCAAGGACGACCGTTCCAGGGCTCATGTCCAGGAACGGTCAGAGGCACGCCCAAGCGGTCTCGTATGATTCGGATCCGAGTCCATGATTGAGTAGCTTTTGTGTAACACCACTGGCACTTCGAGGAGATTCGGCATCTTTGGTCCTATGCATGGGGTGGACTCTTGGGATGAACTCATCTCCTCTTCCCGATTCCATACTACTAGTACATGGCGTACACTACCCACCCTCGATGGGTTCTCGACCATCGCATTCGGCCTTCGGTCGACAGCATATCACGACTCGAGGTTTCTACCGAACTGATTTCTGTTTCCTTTTTTCTTCCACCGTGTTTCTCCTAGTCCCCCTCTCCCCCCTCTTGCTACCATGACTGACACAACGACTCCTACAAGCACAGCAACTGATCTGCCGCCAAGGGGCTACACAACCCTATGGCATGGCGGCAGCCATCTGTCCGCCAGGCTTCTGTCCCCCACCACCTAGGTGTGTACTTTATGTCATGTGCCTCCTTGTTTGCCCACCGAGGCGAGAGACCAAAAGGAGATGATCGGGGGCTCACCGATTCTCGCTTTTTTTTTTTTCTTTTTTTCTTTTTTTTTTCTTTTTCGCTCTCTCCCTCTTCCCTCCACCCAAAAACCACGTAGGACGAGTCCCAAATCTTCTTCTATTCGTTTATGGTCCGTGACGAGGAAGTCGTCCGCGCATCGTAACCAAAGCATGAAGAACACACATAAGGAATACACTGCCAGCCAGGTCGGTACCAGGGACGTGGAGGTATCTCGACCTCTTCCAAAGCGATCTACCCTTCCTAAACCGAAAACCTGCACCCTCTGGCGCTGCAGATTAGTACCCCTATCCCCTGTTCCAGACGTTGGCAGCCTCGATTCTACGTGGTCTCTCCTTGCTGGCAGAGAACTGGCAAAACCACACATCATAAACGCCCTCGACACGCATGTCACACGGTCCGTTGCTACCTATCCTAGCTTCGCTTACCCAGAAGTGAGAGTCCAGTGATGCTTGCATCTTTGTGACTTGCTGTCACCGTCAGAGGGCTGGAGGGGGGAGGGGGGCAGCACGGCAAGCAGTCAGTTATACGTCTGCAAAAGACCTGCATCAAGCAAACAACCCAAAGCCTGCAAGCGTCCTCTCATCCACCCGTACGAGCTGAGGAGTCCCTCAGCCTGGTCCACTCGAATTTACAATGCCAATGCCAGTCGTATTTGTTACGATGGGAACGTGGGAAAATGAAGAGCAGGAAAGATCAGATATGTGGGGATTACAAAAGAAGTGGAGGGACCCTTGGTGGTACCTAGGACCCCTCCCCTGCCATTGTGTACACCCCGCCGGCATCGGGATTTGGCGGTTGAGGCAGTAAATTAGCGTGGGGAGATCAATCGGGGAGAGGGGGAACACCCGGCGACAACACTCCCATCAGCGGCGGCAAACGGCGCTGTTGTTGCGCGGAAACAGGGTAGAATGACCTCTCGATGGACAAGACACCATGTCAGGTGTAGTGCGAATATCGCATTTACCAAAAAAAAAACAAAAAAAACAAACAAAAAAAAAACAAATTTTTTTGGGCTCCAACAGCGGTAATCGAAAACGAAAAGGCTCCATCCGATCCAACCACCAGGAATCGCTTGTTCGCCCTTCCTCATCCTCCGCCCGCATCATCATCACTTCCACGCGGTGCTCCGCGATCAGAATTTCCTTCCAACACGGCAGCTCCACGTCTCATATCCGGGGCCACCACGGTTTGTGTGGGGAGCGTTCGGCCGGCCAGCCCAAGGCTTGCCATTCGTCGGGTGGACCGGAACAGGCGGCACCGGGGCCATGCCGGAAATAACAGACATCGACATAGACACATCTTCATGATCCAAACCTGTCTTGGGAAAACGGTGGCTGCCGGTGGTGAGGAGGAAGGAGTAGGCGGGTGCCACTGACAAACCTACGTGTTTGACATCCGTCTTTTCACGAGGAGGACCAAAAAGAAATCGATCCGGAGCTGTGGGCATTGCGCACGCCCAAGTCGCCGTCTTGGGCCTATGCCAAGGTTACCTACCATGCCAAGGCCATTCGCAACTTGACCGAGGACGCCTTTCGATTCGGCTGCAGGTACCGAACCCTGTGGGTGCACAACGGTCGAGAGCAGTGTTGTAGAATACTATTCGTATGTGTGTATTCGCTCGATTGACTTCTGTCGGCGCCGCCGTCGCTTCCATCAAGCTCTACGACAAACCTGCCGGAAGCTGTCGTGGCTGTCTACGCAGCACGGCAGGAGATTCGGGTATCGAGTACCTCCCAGGTTTTGGCCACTGCTGGCTGGTGGAGAGCCTCCCAGGGCAGATGTAGACTAGCGTGAACCAAAGAAAAGATGGTGTACAGTACCTATTTCGTCCATGAGGGATTTTTGGGTGTTCGATCATCACCCGTGTTGGTCGCGGCCCGCTGGCTGGCTGAACGTCAACTTTGCTGATCAGGATCAGGCGATCCAGTACGAATATTGCCATCGCAATCACTCGGGACACCATTGCGAAAGAGGGTGTAGCGCTGGTTATTCTGTTGTTGAGCCTGGCGATTCCATCAGCCGTGTGATCTTGGGAAGTTCTTGCGCATTCTTATGCATTCTTATGCAGTAGAAAACAAATGCTCACTTTGCACCGGCTTTCGCCAACAGCTGCTCGAGGAAAGCGGAAGATCTCCAGGCTGCCCACCTTCCATCCTTTTTCAGGTCCTGGCCGTCCCCTGAAGTCGGTACGACCCGGCCGAAGAGAAGTCGGTCAGGATGCAAGAAGGCATACTAGTACAGACACGACAGCGAGCGCTTCCGTGCCGTCGAGGAATAGGAGCATGCGGGGGTGTTCCGTTCTGTCTCTCCGTGCCCGCGCGCAAGAAGCTTCCACAAAGAGCATGCAAGGGAGGTAGGTGTGCCCGCGCGCAAGAGCTTCCACAAAGAGCATGCAAGGTAGGTAGGTGTACGCGCACCACGCGCGACCGCCCTTTCTGAAGATGACCCGAGAGTATCGATAAGTCGAGTGTGGTGGTGTAGCCGGGATGGCAGAAGCGGGGAGGAAGAAACAAGCAATTGGGGCGCACCAACAAGCCTTGCTTGGCGTCGCATCCTTCTTTCGTTGCTCGACCTTGTCACGAAGCCATGTGGCGTGGCTTCTTCGGTCTTTTTTTCCTCTGGCGTGCTGGCATCGGCGAATCACTCTCTCCCGTACGGGGTCTGTTGGGGACTTGGGTTTTTTGCTGTAGGCTCGAGAAGTCGTCGAACGAACCCGAGGCAGGCAAAGTCATGACAACAGGAATGCCCAGACGGGAGATCGAAACGCCAAGACGGTTGGACGAGCTTGTGAGCCTGTCCGAGCCTACCATAATATGCAGCGTGGTCGATGCATTGCTTGTGTTGCTGAGATCTCGACCCCTGCGCAACATCGATCGGAAATCCGGGTCATCAGCTGCGCCCTGTTGCGATACTCTGCCAAGGTAGTTTGTCTCTGCACCCTCGCCCGTTCTCTTTCGTCGGACACGCGGCAGATTTGATTTCAACTGTGATGGCCGGCTGGTGGTTCGCATACCGAGACGAGGGTGTGGATGATGAGGGGTCGCGGCTCGCAACGGGAGGACGAGCCAAGGAGGGTTGCCTCGCGAGAGTTTGCCATGGGACACGTTTGATTCGCAGGTCTGCTGCCGATGCAAAGAGTGCAGAAGGAGCTGGAGATAAGAAGAAGGAAGGATTCATCAGTCTACACGTGCAGAATGGTTGTCTCAGAAAGACAGGGCGCCTGTGGTAGGCAAATGCGGTAGGCAATGCGGTAGGCAAATGCGGAGTTGCACCCCGTGCGAATTGGAAGAACGATACCAGTATGTGACCCCGGGGCCAGCGCTGTGTCCCGGAGTGGGAGGTTTGAACGAAGAACGGCCGGATGAAGGCTGGCTACGCGGGAGCGCGCCCAGTGACGAACGCCGAGCCCTTGGCAACGGCTCCTTGCTTGTCGGAAAAGCCAGTACCTTACATACCAAGAGAAACGCCAGACTGCCACCAGGCTGCTGTGTCCTTGTCGAGTTCGCCATGTTTCCGTTTTCTATATGATTTTGGTGGTTCCCCTTTGTGGTAGGAGTGGGCGAACATCACAGCCTTGGAGAACGGCCACGTCCTGCCCCCTTCTGTAATACAGAACGAAAGAAAAATCACTGCGGATCACCGTCGAGCCCCGCACGAGATGATTTGACAGCACCAAAACCCCATGGGATGGCAACGTCGGGACTGCCACAAATCTAGACCTCTGAACGGAATGAAAGAAAGCCGCATAATGTAACCCGTCGATTGCGCAACGACTCCTGCCGTCGGTCGTGTTACCGGTTTGCGAAGAGAGAGGCTGAACTTTATCCTCCCTGCTGGGTCGCTGGCCAACGTCGTATGTTGGTACGTATGGTTGC